TGGCCCCCGCGCCACGGATCCTGTTGCTGCTGCTGCTGCTGCCGCCGCCTCCGGGTGGTGAGCCTTTGGGGGTGGGGGAGTCTGTCCCTGCCAGGGACGGGGGCAGCCACGTCCACACTGTCCCTGCACAGAGCCCTGGCAGCCCCCCACTCCCCGCCCCTAAAACCCGAGGCAGTCAACCGCGTCCCAGGACTGACCTCTCCTCCGCCCCAGCTCCCTTCCCTGCCTGAACTGACACTGCCCGGACCCCAGGCAGCAGCCACCATTGTTCTGTTCTGGAATTTGGGGGGGTGGGTGCCCTCCCGCTGATGTTCTAAGGTATTGGATCCCCCGAGGCTGGGGTAGGGTTCCCTGCTTGGGGTGGTGGCAGTGGGAGCCCCGGCCCCTCCTTCCGAGGCCTCTCAACCTCTGTTTACTGGCTGGGAGCCCCCATCCGCTGCTTCCAAGGAGACCGCTGAGGTGGCCTCCGGGGTTGGAGGAGACACTAACTATTGATTGGTGCATTGTAGACAGATGATTCACAGACTGGGGGGCGGGGGGCGGGGCGCCCAGGCTGAGGACCTTGTGGGGCTAGGAATTGAGACAACCTCCTCACCCCCCAGCCATGGGAGACCAGAGGTCCCTGTGAGTGGGGGGGCTTCCTCCGGGTGAGGGCTTTATCTCTTGGGGGCTGCGGGGAATCTGGAGGACCTGGGGTGGCAAAGTGAGCAGGCAGAGCCCTGGTCCCTGGTCTAGGGAGGTCTGGAGATCCTTGTCCAGAATTTCTGAGCGTCAAAGAACGTTTGTGTCATGGGCTCTTGTCACAGCCACTGGTGTTTGTCTTCAGCCCCAGCTTAGAGGCTCTAAAGGCTGTAAAGACCCTGCTGGAGGTGGTGATGGATCATCTGAGCCACCCAGTAGCTTGGGCCATGTGAAGCAGACCTGCTGTCAGGTGAACAGCCAGCTGGATTGGTGGTCCCACCCTCTGCCCCACAGCTTTACCCCAGCAGGGTTCTGCCTGGAGCTGCTGAGAGCAGAGCATCTCCCCAGCACATTTCTGGTTATCTCTTCTCAAGGTCACTCAGTGGGCCTTGCTCTGTGATGGCCCCAGAGTCCCCCGGTACACCAACAAGGCTGGGTCTCCAGAATCCCAGTGCTGTGCCAGGGCTGTTTCCACGTGACTTAGCCACATCTCAGGGTTTATCATCAGACCTATCCCCAGTCTGCCATAATTATCTGGGACTGGCTGGACGGACTGGTTCCATTCTGGGTCTGCCAGGCAGAATCCTGGTTCATTCCGTCCTGCTGGTGGGCACTAGATCTCTGCTAAGGTAGCTTAAAGATGCCTGGGAACAGATGGCTATAGCATCTTCCTGGAAGTTTGCAAACCTTGTGGTCATCCAAAGCTCTGGGTCACCTTCCACACTTGTCAGCCAGGTCCCCTCAGCACGACCTTGTGTCCTGAGGCTCTATCCTTAACCCCGGCCTGTGAGGAGATCCTTAGATCCCAATTCTGTGGCCAGGAGCCTTGTGTTAGTTCTGGAACTTGAACTGGAGCCCCGGCCGCCAAAGGCACAAACATTTCCGAGGCAGGCCTGCTGCAGGCCCGGCACAGAGCTAAGAGCTGCATAGACACTTATGTTGCGGGTGTGACTGTGGCTGATGGTGAATTGGTCAGGAGACAGCCTGCTGGGACAGTGTGGTCTGTGAGGGCCGGGCCCTGATACTATAGTTATGTTGCGGGTGTGACTGTGGCTGATGGTGAATTAATTGGTCAGGAGACAGCCTGCTGGGACGGTGTGGTCTGTGAGGGCCGGGCCCTGATACTGTAACGTCCAGCAGGGGCCGAGACTGCTTGGCCGAGCTGAGGGGAGAGAGAATGAGGATGAATAATCAGAGGGCGATACAGTTCAGTTGTGTGACTGCTGGGCTCGAGCAGCTTCTGGAGGAGGTGGCCTGGAGTAGGGCCTTAAAGGATGAATAGATTTGAAGGTGGGAGAAATAGGCAAGGATATGGTAGAGTGTGGATAGGGCTGGAAAACTGGGGTGACCTTCAAGGCCCTTTGCAGTGTGGACACTGCTTTGTGGACTGTGAACTTGATCCTGAAGTGGTGTGAACTAGGGACAGTCTGAGAGCAGGACAGCTGAGGCCCAGTCAGATTCTCACGTAGAAGGTTCACTGTCCATCAGAAAGCAAGCGGGCTAGTGGGGAAAGAGGAAGCCCAGAAAGGCGCATCTGCTGTGGTCCAGGGGAGAAGGCAAGGATGGTTGGGTAGTACCAGAGGAGGCCATTGACTAGGATGGCTCAGAGATGATGGCCCCGCACACTTGTGCCTTCTGGCTATGCTAGGAAAAGGGGCTGTGTTGGCTGGGACATGGCTGAGGCCTGGTGTGAGACTTCATGTGGCCATAGGTGAACAAATGTTTCTCTGCTCCAGCCCAGACTGAGGTGTGTACGGCTGCCAGTGGAAACAACCTCTTCCCCACGTTCTGTCCGGATTTCTGCTGTGGCACCTGTTCCAGCCAGTACTGCTGCTCTGACGAGCTCAAGAAATTTATGTGGAGCCAAGAAATGTGTCCTGATCTTGAGGACAGGTGGGTACACACAGCAGTCACAGGGTAGGTGGCTGGAGCCTGCCCCAGCAGGATTGTGCATGGAAGAGAAATAGCCCTGCCCCTCTGGCCTCTCAGCCATCTCAAGATGGTGAGCTGGGGATGGGCGGGGGTCTCTGTTTTAAACTGCACGCCCCAGACTGTGTTTCTTAGTACCCTTCTCCTGTCTTCTCTACTCCAGGTCACCTAGGCTTGGGCTGAGCAGGTTTTCAGGGGTTTGTGGCCTCAGCTCGTCCTGTGGCTCACCCCTGGGTGTGTACTTGTGCCAACACGTCCTGAGGTTGGGCACCTTGGCGTGAGTGTACCCCACAGTCTGTGCATGCACCTGGAGGAGTGGTATGTGATTTGTGCAGATACCATCCTGTGGGCCCTGGAGGGCCCAGTGCATGAGTATGTGCCCCACAGTGTGCCATACCTGTGTCCTCCTGGCATGACCCACGGATTTACACTGCACTTTGGGTATAGACTGTCTCATGGACGAGAACCAAGGTTCCAGGCCCCTGCATATGTCTCCGTTTGCCACATTCTTTGTTTCTTTTGTGTTTGGCCCCAGGTATAGAGGATTGAGGGGGTCATCCTCCTCAGCTCATGGCAGGTGATTGTCATTGTCTGGATAAGACCAGTTCCCCTCCATCTTACATATTTATTTTAATCTCCTATGACCGTTTCCTGTTCCCCTCTCAACTCATAGGCAGCCAGTCTGCCATATCCTTTCGATTGTTTCTATTCTTGCGAATTCTATATCGTTTTGTGGGTACAATGAGCCCCCTTCCTTTTTGCACTCAGTACAGTGTTTGCAAGACCCACCAGTGTTGTTGTATGTACATCTGGCCTGTGCCCACCATTGCTGGGTCGTTCTCTGTGCCGTGAGTCCGAAACTGTTGCTATCACAGATAGCTGCAGTGGGCATCCTTGTAGGACTTCCTCCTACCTTCTACAGAGCCGTGTGAGAATTTCACCCTTTTACTTTCAACCTTTCAGTATCCATATCCATGTATGTACATGTATATGTATATGTATATGTATATGTATATATGTGTATATGTACCTATGGGTATCTGTATATGTGTATATATATATACACACACACATTTGACTGTTCGGTTATGATGTTAGCTGTAGCTTCTTCATCGGTGTCCTTTATCAGGTTGAAGAAGTTCTCTTCTTCGCTAGTTTGTTTGGAGTTGTAATTATGAAGGGATATCGGATTTTGTCAAATATTTTTCCTGCAGCTGTAGTGATGATTATATGATTTTTCTATTTTTATTCCGTTAATGTGGTAAACTACACTTATCTCATTCTTAAAGAACATATTATCTGAGCAGAACTTCAGTCGATGGTTATTTTCCCTTAGCATATTGTTTTCTGGCTTCCATTATTATTGTTAAGGCATCAGCTTAATAATCAGTTGTCCCTCATTTAAAATACATTTTTTTAAAAAAAATTCTGACAACTTTTTAAGATTTTTTTTCTTTAGTATTCTTCAGTTATCCTATGCTATATCAAGATATGGATTACTTTTTGTTTATGGCGCTATGGATTTATTTAGCGTCTTAAACTGTGGTTTAGTGTCTCCCATTAGTTCTAGAAATTTCTTTGCCATTCCTTCTTTTAACATGGCCTTCCCTCCTTTTTCTCCTTTCCCTTTGGAGCTCCAATCAGACATAAGCTACGTTTTCCACTCCAGTGTCTACGTATCCTTGTCTCTCACATTTTCATCTCTGTATCGTGTGCTGTATAATGTCTTCTCATCTCTCAGGTCACTCGGTTCTTTCTTCACCTGTGTCTGATCTGCTGTTTACCTCATCCATTAAGGTTATTTTTTATATCGTTATATTGGAAAATAGAATTCACATGCAGAAAAGTGCACGAAATATTCAGTGATTTATCACAAAACACACATCTGGGTAACCACCACACAGGTTAAGACATACAACATCACCAACAACTCGGAGGCCTCCCTGAGTTCCCTCCTAATCACTGTTGCTTCTCCTGTCCCACAAAGGTCACTGTTATCCTTTATATAACCTTGCTTTCCTTTAGAATTTTAATATCCATTCATGCATCCCTAAATTCTGTAGTTTAATTTTTTTCTGGTATGAGGAGTAAAAACACTTTCCTACATTGGTAGATATCATACCTGCATAAAAGTACACAAATCTGAAGTACACAGTTCAGCGAATTATCACAAAGTAAACACATCCATGTAACTACCACCTATCCAGGTCAAGAAATAGAACATCGTGGTACCCCAGAAGCCCCCTCATGTTCCTTCCCAATCAACATCCCTTCTGTGATCCCCAAAGATAAGCATTAACCTGCTATACCTGTTGTATATATGTGTAGACATACAAATAAAATCACACATATTTGCTTTTTGTTTTGTATTGGGTTTCTTTTTCTCAACATGTGAGTTTCATCCATATTATTGTGTTTGTTCATTTCCCTTGGTGTATGGTATTGAGATTTATACCACAGTTTATCCATTCTAATGTTGATGGACATCTGAATTGTATCCATTTTTTTGGCTATTACAAATAATGCTGCTGTGAGCATTCTTGTGGATGTCTTTTGGTATACGTGTGTACGCCCTTAAGTATATGGCTAGTAGTCGATGTAAGTAGGGATCAAACTTTACTTTTTAATATGGATGTCCAATCGACCTAACACCGTTTATTGGGAAAACTACCCTTTTTTGCTATCACTCTGTCATTCCAATTTTGTTATAAATTAAGTGTCCACATATGTGCGTAAAAGTCTTGAGGCTCTTTATTATTACATTGGTCTTTTTGTCTCTTCTTGAGTTAAAACAGACTCATAATTACTGTAACTTTATAATAAGGTTCGATATTCTTCTTCAGTATTGTCTTAGTTATTTTGGGCTTTTTGTATTTCCATGTACATTTTGGAATCAGCTTGTCTATAAAATCAGCTTAAATTTCATTGACTTTATAGACTATTTTTGTAGAATCGATGTTTGACTAGATCGAGTTTTCCGATTCATTAACACAGCATATCTGCCCATGTATTTGGGTTTTCTTTCATTTTCTCTTAATTATGTGCTATAGTTTTCTATGTCAAAGTCTTGTGTATCTTTCATTGTATTTTTTTCTAGGTGTTTGATTTTTTTGATGGTATTGTAAATAGCATAGTTTAAATAGCATAGTTTATCTAATTATCGACATAGAGAAATATAATTTTTATAAATTGACCTTGTATCCTGAGACCTTACTAAATTTATTTATTAATTTGAGTGATTTTTAATTAAAATTTCTTTAGGATTTTCTTCAGAAATAGTCATGTCATCTGCTAATATGGCAGTTTTATTTCTTCCATTTCAATTTTTATACTTTTTATGAATTTTTCTTACTTTATTGCACTGGCTAGGATCTCCAGGACAATGTTGATTGAAAGTGGTGGTAGATAGCATTCTTTACTTGATTCTGGTCTCAGAGGGAAGGCTTCATCATTTCACCATTAAAAACAATGCTTGCTATTTTTTTTTAAGACAATTTTTATTAGACAAAGAAAGGTTTCTGTTATTCTGAGAGTGATACTAAGAATCTCTCTCCCTCTTTCTCAAATCTTTGGTGCCTTTTAAAAGAAACCTATTTCTTCTGGGTAAATATCTAGGAGTGTTTGGAATTGCTGAGTCACTGAGTTCAGGTGTTCAGCTTTGGCAGATACTTCCAAACAGATTTCTAACATGTTTGTACTATTTACACTCCTACCAGTCACATGTGAGATTCGTTTGCCCTATAGCCCCTTCCAAACTTGGTACTGTAAACTTTTTTTTAAATGGAGGTTTAATTGCATTTAGTAAAGTGCATGGATCTTAATGTTTCAGTTTGAAGTAGAATTGCTTACAATAAAATGCAGAGATCTTACTGTTTTCAGTTTGAGACACCAGATGGATACTTCTCATATATAACACCTCAGTCAAGATATAGATCATTGCTATTTCCCAGAAAGTTTTAATTTTAGTAATTTTGATGGCTGCGTAGTAATATCTTATTGTGTTATTTTCTTTTAAGATTTCAGTCTTTTGAAACTTATTGAGACTTATTTGAAAACCCAGTATATATATACTGTACCTTGGTGACTGTTTCATATGTACGTGAAAAGAAGGTATGTTCTGCATTTGTGAAATAGTGTCTTATAAGTGTCAGTCAAGTTGGTTGATAATAGTGTTTAGTTCTTTTCAATCCTTAGTGGTTTTTGTCTGCTTGTTTTATCGATTACTGACAGACTGTAGATATATTTATTCTTCTTTTAGTTCTGTCGATATTTGCTTTATGAATTTTGATGCTTTGTTATTAAGTGCATATATATTTAGGATTGCTCTGCCTTTCTGATGAATTGCTTGTTTTATCATATGTAATCTCCCTCTTTATCTCCTGTAATACTGTTGTAAACTCCAAAGATAGTATTTTAATTGTTTTTGACAGTGAATATTTATTTACATTTATCCATATATTTATTTTCTCTGCTTCTTAATGCTTCCTATTTCTTTAAACTTCATCTGAGATCATGTTTCTTCTGTCTTTGGTGTAGATCTGCTGGTGTCAAATTTCCTTGGTTTTTGTTTGTCTGAAAATGTCTTTATTTCGCCTTCCTTCTTAAAGGATATTTTTCCTGGTTCTCAATTTCTGGGTTAGCAATTACCAACTTCTTTTAATACTTGAAAGCTTTCATTCCATTGTCTTCCGATGTCTATTGTATCCATCGAGAAAGCAGTTGACAGTTTTTTTATTGCTCTTTTGCAAGTAAATTTTTTTTTCTGACTACTTTTAAGATTTTTCTTTGTTTTTGGTTTTCAACAGTTTTACTATGATGTGACTAGATGTGGTCTTCTTTGAATTTGCGCTACTTGAGGTTCACACTATTTTTGGAATCATGTTTGTTGTTTTTCATCAGTTTTAGAAAATGTGGAGCCATTATATCTTTAAAGATTGCTTCTGCCTTATTCTCTTATTCCTCTCCTTTTAGGATTAATTACTCATACATAAGGCCATTTGTAAACCGTATTCCATATTTCACCTACTGTCTTCTGTATTTACATTTACCATGTTTTTGTGTCTCTGGGCTTCAGTTTACATGTATTTATTTTGATCTATCCTCCAGTTTGTAAATTATATCCTTAGCTGTGCCTAATTATTAATTTGTTGTATTATTTTTTAGTTCTGGAATTTTTATTTGTTTCTTTTTTTATACTTCAGGTTGTCCTGAATTGCTCAATCTTTTCTCTAATTTGCAAGAACAGTGTATAGTGTTGCTATTTTCACGTCAGTGCCTGATAACTTCAGTATTTAAAGCCCCTGTTGATATTTCTGTTGTCAGTGGTTTCTATTGTTTTCTATTCGTGTCATCTAGTGTCCTGGTATTCCTGAAAATTTTTGAATTTGTGCCCAGCATTGCATTTGCAAAATAGATTGTAGATATTTGGAGCTCAGGATTTCCTCCAGGAAGGACTTATGTTGCTTTTGCCAGCAACTCTAAGTTCACGTCGCCTAATTGCAGAGACTGAGATGATTAGAAGCGGAACTACCGACTCAGTTTCTCTCTTCCTGTTGGGATGCATCGTTTCAGGTCCCAGCCCGCGTGGAGTCATCAGGGCCTCCCCACTTGGTGGGCTCTGGGTCTCATCTCTAGCACCTGACGCTTTCAGAATTTCTGCTTAGCCTCCCAGCTGCCCCTTGAAATTGGCTAATGCTCCCAGGAGAAAAAGGGCCTCAAATGCCAGGCTCACCTCCACGGATCATCCTTCCCAGCCTCCCCACCCCTGGACCCCAGCTTAGTACTCTTCACTGCATCAGGCCTTGCCAAAGCCTGAGCGCAGCTTTGTGGGTTGTCCTTCACATTTATTAGGTTATAGTTCCTAACGCTTTTAAATTTTATTTTGTTTTTACATTTAATTTTGGAAATTTTCAAATAAATACAAAAGCAGAGAGAATAACGTAACTCCAAATATCCATCATCCGTTTCCACGGTTACCAACACTCTAACACTACTATTCCATGTACCTCCCTCCACTTTTTTTCTTCTAGAATATTTAGAAACAAATGTCAGACATCATAAGTGTTTCTCCTTGAATGTTAGTTTTTGTCGGTACAAATGAATCCTTTAAAAAGAAATATAACAACTATATCAACACATTTGGCATAATTAGCAGTAACCTGTTAATGGCTTTCAATACTCGTCTGTCTTCAGTTGATTCCGCTTGTCTCAAAAATGTCTTCATGGGTAGTTTGTTCAAGTCAGAATCTAAACAAGATTATTATTTTAAAAATCTCTTTCCTGTCTTACAGTCATTTCCCCTTTTTTATTACCCCCCCTTTTTCCCCCTTTTTGTATCATTTCTCCTTTTCTCAGTTAGTCCTGCTGGAGGTCTGCCAGCGTCGATATTATTCATCTTCTCTTATTTTTCGTGGCTGTCATTCTCTTTTATGAATCCCTTTCTTATATTTTGGGTTCGTGCTGACTTTTTCCCCATCTTCTTGAGTTTGATACCCTCTCACTATTAAAGACATAAATTTCCCTCTGAAGACCTACTTCAGCTGTGTTTCACGAATTTGGACCTGTAGTAGTTGCGCTACCATTCGGGTTTACATATTTATTAATTTGCTTTATGATTTCCTATGTAACCCACAGGGATTTTTGTTGTTGTTTTTGTGCCACGTTAGTTTCCCAAAGTATGAGTTATTTTAGCAATCCTTTCTTAGCGTTTTAAACTCGTGGCATTGTCGTCTTCTGTTACTGATTTCTCACGTCATCCCATTGTGGTCAGGGAAGATACTTTGTATGACAGCTGTCTTTTCAAATCTATTTAGACTTGTTTTGTGGCCTCACAAGTGGTCTGTCCCGGAGAGTGTCCCATGTGCACTCGAGAAGACCATGTGGCACTGTAGCCTGAGACCCCAATGTGTGCGATCTCCATCCCAGGAGGCCACCGGGGCCACCTCCATGGCCCAGACCTGGGTTGGCTTTGGCGCATGTTCTGCGTGTGCAGTAATATAGTGTTGGTTTGTTCCTGCTGTGCTGGGTGGGGCTTGGTGTGTTAATCGTGCCGTTTCCTCTTTGCAGTTTGGCCAGCACTGGGGAGCATCTGGAGCATCTGGAGCAGCTGTCCTCGTCACTGAGGTTCTCCTCCTACATGGACAGCGACCTCATGTCAGGGTAAATCAGACCTGCAGGCTGGATGCATCTTCTTAGTAGAGATGACAAGGGGGCTCAGGTGGTCTAGGGTGACAGATCTGGGGACTAGGATGGCTCATTGGGGTGGGGTCCTAGGGAAGTTGTCGCCTCGTCGGACCAACAGGGCCTTTGATCCTTATGTTGGAAATTTGCATCCTTATCATTGTGCTGGGGTTCTGGGGATGGTGTTGACTGTGGTTGGGGGGGGGTCGACATTTGAAAGGCCGAGGGTGGGGGTTCACGTTGACCTAAGTGAGTGCACCGGTGGGCAGAGGTGAACGATGGGTATAGTGAACAGAGGGATGACATAATGGGGTGATGGTGACGAGAGGCGATAGTGATGAGGCAGTGGTGCCAGGGCTGATGATGGGGCAGTGGTGGTGATGGCGGTGAGCGTATGGTGATGGGGCAGTGGTGGTGATGGCGGTGAGTGTATGGTGATGGGGCAGTGGTGGTGGTGGCGGTGAGCGTATGGTGATGGGGCAGTGGTGGTGATGGCGGTGAGTGTATGGTGATGGGGCAGTGGTTCATGGTGATGGTGGAGAGGCTGATGGTGATGGGTGATGGGGGCGTGGATGGTGAGAGGGTGACAGGGAAGCAGTTGTGGTGAGATGGCGGTGATGGGGTGATGGTAGCAGAGAGACGTGGCAGAGATGCTGGTGGTGGGTCTATGGGTATATGGCGAGGGGCTAATGCGGCATTGGTGGCAGTGATCGGGGTGATGGTATTGCTGGGTGTATGGTGATGGGGTGATAATGGTGAGCAAAGATGCTGAGACAGCTGATGATGCATGGTACCCATGTCAAGGTTTGTGGGTCATGGTTACTGTGTCAGGCGCCTCCTATCGGGGGCCAGGGAACAACCCACTCTCCCAAACTTTAGTCCCCTTGGCCAGGTTCCCGCCCTGTCTTGTTGCCACCATGACAGGTCTCACGATTCACATTTTGTGTGGATGGGATGGGTGTGCAACCACTCGTGTGTATTTTCCTGGTGGAGTCTGTTCCCCATGCTGTCTGCCTCTGCCCTGGTGAATCTAGAAGCCCCTATCAAGAGCAGATCTGCTTAGGCCTGGTAGCCCCTTTGGGGGAAGAGACTTTGGGCTGTGGGCCTGCATCAGGGGTCCGGTCCTTATCCTGCCCTGTGGGCCTGGGTAGGTGTGGGGCCTCACTGGCCGTAGTAGAATTGAGGCAGAGCTCTTGTGAATGGCAGAGGGTCGGGTAGGTGTGGGGCCTCACTGGCCGTAGTAGAAATGAGGCAGAGCTCTTGTGAATGGCAGGGGGTCGGGTAGGAAATGAAGCCTGTGCCCCCTGCTCGGAGCCTGGGGCTGGGCCTCCTCTGCTGTGCTGGCTGATCCTTCCCACTGGGTTGGGCGGAGACCGAGACTCTGAAGCGCCCCTCCCTCCATCCAGGGAGTACCACTCGTGTGCTGAGGCCCAGGACCGGGGGCTTCGGATGGCCCCACAGGAATGTGACGTAGCCGGTGTGGGCCTTGTCCCTAGGACAGTGGGTTCTGGGCAGTGGTGGGGTCTGAGTGGTATTTTAGGGAAAAGACCCCTCTGGCTGCTCTGTGGAGGATGAAAAGAACAGACAGAGAGGGTATGACAAGTGGCCAGTAGGAGGCAGCCATGGCTTCTTGGTCCCATGCATTGGAGGCCAGAAGGAGACTGGGCTTGGCGGGGCCAGGTGAGACTGGAGACCAGGCGTTAGGGAGCTGCCTGCTAGGAGGGGGGCTGAAGGTGTGGCAAGGGGTAGGGGGTACCCTGGTCTCTGCTCTCGTGACAGGGCTGGAGTTCTAGCCCCGCATGGGGATGCAGGACCAGGAGTGGGTTCAGGGTGAAGGGCTGGGTTTGGCTGGGATGCGTGTGTGGAGGACTGCCTCTGAGGGTCCATGGTTGAAGACTAGCGGCCGGGAGCTGAGCGGGCGGGCTCAGAGAGGGGAAGAGACAGGAAGGCGGCCTGGTCTCTATTGTGAAATGTGGATTTCACACCACGGAGCCCGTTCAGCGGGGCGGATTGAAGAGCGAGGTGGAAGGGCGTGCGGTGAGTGTATGGTGATGGGGCAGGGGTTCAGGTGATGGGGTGATGGGGGCATGGATGGTGATAGGGTGACAAGGCAGTATATGAGGTGAGTGTAGATAGCTCCATGGAGATTTGGCTGTGGACGGATGAGGAGTCAGACGGGAGCTAGTAGAGAATCGGGGTAAAGAAGGCTTCTTTTGCAAGAGACCTGAGCTGGGAAAGTAGAGAGAGGGGACAACGCAGAGGGGCATAGGGGGAGGAGTGGCTTCTTGGGGCTGCGGCAACAGGGAGGTGACCAGGAGCAGCTCAAAGCACCCACCTCTTCCTCCCCAAGGTGTGCTCCCAGAACCAGGTCTGGTCAGCCCGACTGCACACAAGCTGTGCACACCACAGAGCCTCCTGGGCGTGCCCTGCAGCCTCCCTCTGCCCCGCAAGCCTCCTACCCAGGCTGTCTTGCCTACCCACTGGGAGGTGCAGTTGACTGGGGTGATACTCCACTCCTACCTGCCCCCAACCCCTCCAAGCCCATCCCTCCTCTGAGCCGAGTACCAGGACTTCCACAGCACCTGCCCTATAAAGGTTTAGTGCCTGAGAAGCAGTTCTGGGGGAGTAGACGGACAGGGTTGTCAATGACACTTCTGTGAATGCCTTGTCAGCATCACGGTGAGAGCTGGCCCGCTCCAGAGACCACCCTTTCACAGCCTTCTGAACTTGGCCTTTAGACTCCTTGATTTGGGAGGGAGCCCCAGCCTTGGGAAGCCCCATTCTTCTCAGAGGTATGTTTCCGTTACTACTGTACCCTGTTGTGACCACAGGCCCTAGCCACATTTTGCAACCACTGCTCAAATATTGTACTTCCTGTCTACGGCCATGCCACCCTAAACAAGCTCGAACCCGTCTGATCTTGGAAGCTAAGCAGGGTCGAGCCTGGTTAGTACCTGGATGGAGATCACCTAGGAAGACCAGGTGCTGTAGGTGTAAAAAATAAAAAATAAGGGATTGTAAGATGACAAGGTCCTTGCAATCTGTGAGGTCAACTAAAAAAAAAAAAAATTGAGCTTCTTGAAAGCATCATACCTAGTAGTCCTACTAGGTGTTGCCATGGTGACTTTATTCATTCCTCAGAGACTTACTGAGCACCTACCGTATGCCAGGTGCTGGAGATAAGGGTGATGTCCCAAAGCGGGTGCAGTCTGTGCTTCCATGAATCCACAGGCTGGAGGCTAGATGCACGCTAACCCAATGCTCACACAAAGCAGTGAGTGTGTATAAACTGAGGTAGACAGGAGTTTGATTCTGTAAGAGCATACATCAAGGAACCTGACCTCACCTGCGAGGTCAGGGAAGGAGTCCCTGGGGAAGTGATGTTTTGAGCTGAGGGCTGAAAGGTGAACAGGAATTAATGATTTAGGCGTGGGAGGAAGAGAAAGGTGAAACAGGCAAGAGGAACTGTTTATGCGAAGGCCCTGAGGTAGGACACAGCATGGGACTTTCACAAGCTGGAAGGAAGGTGCTGTGGCAGACAGAGTAGGGAGGGTGGAAGTCCTAGACCACGAAAGGAGTTTTACATGAATAGACGTTTAATTAAAGATTAAAATTCACTTTATGGGACAAATCCTAGATTTTTTTTCCTTTTATTGTCAACTACAATAAATATATAGGGAATTATAGATATATACACACACATACACACACAAAGTAAATTGTAAAGCAAATTCCTGGGTGATCCCAAGAGTGACAGGAGCCATAGCAGGTGCTTGAGCAGGGGGTGACATGATCAGACCTGGTCGAGGAGGCCCAGGGCCCGCTGGTGGGCCTGGGTAGCTGAAGGCGCCCATCAAGGAGGGCGGTGGATCATGCTGAACAGGAGCCGAGCGAACGTGGTTCAGGCACGCCGAGGCTGGGTGTCTCTCTCAACCAGCGGAGGCGCTGTTACGGAAGTGGGGTGGGGGACCACCGTGAGAGGCTGGGCCTGGCCAGGCCACTGTGGGAAGAGGGCCTGGGCACCTGGGTTCCTCCCTGCTCCTGGCCCCTCCCAGCTGGTCACACAGTTAGGGTTACATGCACTGTGTCTTTAAGAAGCTCTGGTGTCTGGCCTTCTTGCCACTGACGTCAGAGGAGGGGAGGGCAGAGGAAATTTGCTTTGCTTTTCTCGGAAAGGGGAGGAGATTGAAACAGTGGTTCATGATGGAAAGAGGGAAGTCAGGGGATGCAGGACCCTGAGTGAAGGTGGAGGCTAACATGGGGTGAGCTTGGGCGCAGTGCTGTGTGTGTGTGTGCGTGTGTGTGAGATAGACAGAGAGACAGATTGAGCAAGAGTGAGAGAGAGAGAGAGAGAGAGAGATCGAAGATGATGGCTCTGCAGTCATGTGCCGCTGCTTGTCTGGAATGTGTGTTTCCCCTTTTTCTGGGTCCGCGGCAGGCCTGGGAGGAACTTGCGGCCAGGACAGCTGAGGATTCCTCCTCTGGGCAGGAAGGCACCTACTGACTCTGACACTCCCCTCTTGGGGCCCTGTTCTGGACCACACAGCAGCCAATGGCTCCTGTGTTACCAGTGCGGTCGGGGATTTTTGAGTCTGGCATGGGAAGGGTCTGTCCTTCGTCTGTCCCTAGGCTGTGGTGCAGGGCCCTGCTGAGGTGGTGCTGCCTGTCTGGGCTGTGAGGTGGAAGCCCTTCCGCCAGGGCAGGGTGGGGTCTACAGCCCGCCCCCGGGCCTCGGGGGAGGCAGAGGCCCTCCTGCTCACTAGGCTCCTTCCATGTTTTAGTGTGCTTTGTACACTTGCCAAGCCTTTGCCTTTTAGAATGGAGCTCGGCCTCTGGGAACAGGGGAGCACAGCAGGGGCCCTGTCAGACGTCGAAAGTCAGTTTGGGTGAACTTCCGGCCCGGGGCCTGCTTTCTCAAAGAGCCGGTCCTCCACTGTCGGGATCCTTGCGGAGGGGCCGGGCAGGGAGGCCTCCTCTTCCAGAAGCCAGGGCCACCTCCAGCCCATCCATATTCTCCGTCTGGCTCTTAGTTTTACCCACCTGTGAAGCCCGGGGGTGCATGCGAACACCCGGTGCGGGGCTCACATCCGGCAGGTTGAGGTCACGTCAGGACAGTCCTGCCCAAGGCCACGAGCTGGCCAGTTTCATTCCTGTCCTCACTGTTCTGGCCACACTGGTCTCTGTCTTTCTGGAACCTCGTCTTCGTCCCCTGCGCTTCCTTGGCCGTTTTACCTCCAGCATCTGCCTCCTCCTCCCGTGGCCCGTGGTCTCCCAGAGGCCACAAGTCGGTCTGTCTCGCCCATTGCTGAGTTTTTGGCTCAAACCACAGTGCCCAGCTTGTGGCATGTGCTTGATGACTGTCCACTGATCCGTTGGTGGGGTGACAAGACGTGTGTTTGGTGGGGAGGCACAGAACTCCCGCCCCTGCTCCTGAGCGGGGGGGGGGTAGGGAGGCAGCCCCCTGCTGGGGTGCTTCACATAGACTCAAAACCCCATTTCCGCATGAGGAAACCGAGCTGACACAGGTTCCAGCCACAAAGCCGGAAGTTGTTCGATCTGGCAAGAGGGGCGCCCCCTGGGGCTGCATGGGGTGTGGGCTACGGGTCCTGGGGGGCGCGAGGGCCCTGGGTCATGACCCGCTCTTCGGCAGGTTCGGCGCAACCGCAGCCATCGGCCTGACCATCTTTGTGCTCTTTGTCGTCACCATCATCATCTGCTTCACCTGCTCCTGTTGCTGTTTGTACAAGATGTGTCGCCGACCACGCCGTAAGCATGCCCACCGCAGCCACCCCACTGAGACCCTGGGGTGGCGAGGGGAGCTGGCCAGGGCCCTGGTTTGACTATGTTGGAGGGAAGGGTGGCAGGCCCAAGGGCCCTGACTGGGATTCTCTTCACAGCCATCGTGACCACCACCACGTCCACCACCGTGGTGCACACCCCCTACCCTCAGCCTCCGAGTGTGCCACCCAGCTACCCTGGGCCATCATACCAGGGCTACCACCCTGTACCCCCCCGGCCAGGGATGGCAGCAGCACCCTACCCGGCGCAGTACCCTCCACCCTACCCGGCCCAGCCTGTGGGCCCACCAGCCTACCACGAGACATTGGCTGGTGAGTACCACTGCTGACTCTCACCCTGCCTGACTCTGACACTTCCGCTGTACCCACAGCCAACCAGTGTCCTCTCTGTTTTCAGGAAATGCGGCCATGCCCTACCCCGCCAGCCAGCCTCCTTACAACCCGGCCTACATGGACCCTCCGAAGGCCGCCCACTGAGCACACCCCTGCCACTTGATGTGTGTGTGTTTGAATGGGTCAGGCACGGGCCTCTTCTCTCCGTGCAGGATGTGTGTGTGTCGTTTGTACACAAGGCTTCTTGTGATGCCGACAAGGTGAGGGACAATCCTTGCCAGAGTTGCTGGGACTATACTTCGTTCTCTTCCTCACTTGAAATTATACTTCCTTAAACTCTCAAGTAAAATTCAAAGAATGGGGTGGGAGTTCTTATCCAGACCACCCCAGGGAGGCCAGGTGGGGCTCGCAACCCTAGGATAGCACAGCTTTCTGTGGACGAGATGCACATGTGCTCTGGATTCAGCAGAATGGCTAGCCCCTGCTCGAGGCCATAGCTTGTCCTCAGGGTGTGCACTTCCCCTGGAAGAACCAGAGCTGTGAATCAGGCAGTAGGTGAGGCTTGGGACCCAGCTAAGCTGGGTTTTGATCCCATTGCTCCCTGTGCTGTGCCCAGTGGAGGGCGGGCAGCCCCCTGGTGCCAGAATGCCTAAGGCGGAGCCCCACCCACCCTGACCACTGCCTGGGACCACCTGGAGGCCACAGCCACCTAAGGTTCTGGCTTCCCTGGCTGGCCCTGGCCCCCACCACAGGTGGGCACGGTGGCCTCTGTCCACCTACACACTCAGGTGTCCTCCCTGCAGTGTTTTACTTTTAACCAAACATTTGGCCTGTTTTCTGTTTTGAAATGTATGTGCCGGTCGCTGTGGGGCTGAGCTCCCTGAGTCCTGGAGGGAAATTGGCTCATAGAGGGACCATCTGACCGCTGACAGTCCCCACATGCCCCACACCAGCCTCACAGAATGTCCAGCTCCTGTACCCCAGTCCAGTTTGTCCTGGCAGCGGGGACACTTGGGCCAACGGGCCATTTGGACCAGCGGTGAAGGGGGTGCTGGGTGGCTGCTGGCCTAGACATGGATACCTCGGTGTTCCCCATCCGTTACTGTCTCGCCTGATCCGTCTCAGCTTTGTACCTGTTGATATGTTTCTGAAAGTCTGGGGTCTGTACCCCTGTTTATAATAAACGCAGGCATTTGGAGCTGCACCCCCTTTCCTCGGAGCCTTGGCTGCAGGCACTGGGCAGTAGGCCAGGTACCGTTTCCATCCAACACTTGGGTTTCCATGTTTTCCCTTGTATTGGGCTCAGCTATCTGACCATCCTGCTGGGGGATGAGGGACAGAGACTGCGCCCCCTTCCCCAGGTCCCTGAGTGCGGACGGGCGGAGGCGCAAGAGGCTCTAAGGCTGCCAAGGACGGTAGAGGCAAAGGGACCACTTGGTACTGCGGGGTCTTTATTAGTCAGACTTTCCTTGGCTTATTGCTCAGGTGTGGCCAGCGACAACGCATACAGTGTGGCTACGGCCACGGTCAGCAAGGTCAGCAGCCCCAGTGGGGCCAGCAGTCTTTCCTGGAGTGAGGCTGCAGGGCCCTTCGTTGGAGGGAGTACCTTGGGCCTCTTGCTTCGTCCAGGGTTGGGACCGGTGTCCCTGGCTCTGGCCAGGAGTGCGGTGTCTGTAGCAGCAGATGGCCCTGAGTTGGTTCCAGTAGAGGCTGTGACCCCGTACATCGGCTTGACGGTGCTGAAGGGCCGGGCGTGCGCGTCCACCCAGTGCAGCAGGGCCCGCGGCCTCCACTGACAGATGCTGAGCAGGGCCAGGACGTCCCCCTCGGCCGTGTGCGAGTCCGGCGGGGCCTGCCCGTACAGGCGCGTGTAGATGCTACCCAGGCTGTAGCTCCTCCTCGGGCCCTGCTTCGGGGGGCTGCCAGCCTGCTCCAGGGCCTTCAGGGCAGCGATGCTATCCACACAGAAGGTGCCGTCTAGAGCACTGGCAAGGCCCAGCACGGCCAGCTCTGCCTGGAGGAGGGGGAAGTCGTAGCGGTCACCGTTGTGTGCCACGAGGCACCAGGGCTGCGGCTGGCGCTGCAAGAAGGCTTGGAGCAGGTTGACCAGGCCGGCGTCGAAGCTCTGACGCCCGTGCACTGCCAGCGCAGCTGTGCTCAGGCCCGTGATCTCGCTGGCTGCAGGGCTACAGGCCTTCCCCGGAGCCACACACAGGGAGAGCTTGTCCACCACGCGGGGGGGCGGGGGCACCGTGGGAGGAGGCCCCTGTGGGCTGGGAGGGCTCTCCAGGGCACATCTGTGGACGGCCAGCAGGCACAGCTCCGTGATCTTGGGCTGGGAGAAGGGCAGTCCAGTGGCCTCCAAGTCCAAGAAGATGAGGGTCTGCATGGGACCTGGAGGCAGGGCCTGAGAGCCCATGCTGGGTTCTGCTGCCGAGCCTGGGGACAAGTGCCAGGTGGAGAGAGGGAATGTGAGTGCCCGAGGGGTGAGGTCTGAGGTGGGGGTGGGGAGGTGGGGAGCACACCTCTGGGCCCCCTTTCTCAGACAGCCTGCTCTGTCGGTGAGCTCCAAGACCCCTTTTCAGGGCAGGAAGCCAAGAGGGTGGGGTGGCTTCCTTAATGTCATCAGCATACTCAACTGTCTGGGGAAGGTTTGGTTCCTTTCCTAGTACTTGCCTAGTCTGGGGGGCCAGGCAGAGCCCATGGCCTTCCTACCCAGCCCCAGCCCCCTGCGGATCTTCACTTACCAAGCAGCCAGCGGACAGGCAGCAATGACTCCGGGTGCACGCTGGCTGGGCCTTGCTGCTGGTTGCAGTGGCGGGAAATGAAACTTAGCCTGAGCCCGCCCACCAGGCTGGTATGAGCAAGGCCCGCCCAGTCCCTCCCCAGCTCCTCCCCCTGGTCCCCTC